TTGGTGGTTTCTAATCCGGTACGGCTAAGATTGCTGTAGCATGCAGCCAATATAATTCCAAAAGTCATGAAATACATCCCAGCAAGAGCTGGTTTGCTCTCTCTTCCTAGATAGGTTGTATCTTTAAATTAAAGGTTAGCCCACAGCAAACAGGCACAGAAAACAAACTTCTCATAGTATTTGCTAAACTCCAAGTCTTCAGGAATTAAAATATTTTCACTGAGAACAAGTCAAATCTTCCTGAGTTTTAAAGCACTAATTTTCACCAGAAGAAGGAATCCCTCAACATCAGTATTTTAGATACATACCAGAGACTGAACAATATCATTACTTCATCTTAAAGCATCGCTCAGGCATTCTAAGTGTTTTGTTAGGAAAGACTATTTACCAAAATAAAATTAGTTCAGAATTAGAATTTTTTTTCTACAACACTTACATAGCCAGAAATTCTTACACACTACTTTCTAGGTTCACAAGATTTAATCATATAGTTAAATCCATGAAAACTTGAGCCAACTACAAAACAAGAGCAATGTGCTGCAGTGCTTTTTGGAAACTATTAGTGACAGCTTGGAGGAACAGCTTATGAAAATTTGCTAGTCGTCTAAATATTTTAAAATCTCCAAGCTGAGTTGGGTTTAATTTTTATATTATAAGTTATGGATGAGAATAGTCTAAAGCACAGACACACATCTGTACTATACAATGAAGTGCTTAATACTCCATTTCCTTATAGGTTTGTGCAGGTTTTTTTGCAGCACTACAACACATGAACAATTTTAATACTACATTACTTAGATGTTGGTTTAGCTCAGTTTCATGTGAAAAGACATGATCACTACTACTTCAATACTTTCATCTTCCTTCCTTTTCCTTGTTAATACCAGAATAAAAGACTTTGTCCTCATTCTCAGTTTGTCAGCACAATTTTTTTTGGGGGGACACTGGGAAACATCAAGAAGTGGTATACAAAGGCTAACCTTGCTTTAAGTTACTTCTGTGGCACACTAGGTTAGTTTTCTCACATGCACTCAAGCAGCAACTCTCAGTTGAATGGTGTTCAACAGAAGTGTTTATTTTTAAGATCCCTTTTTTCAGTAACTGAATTTAAGATGTTGATTTTACAATGCCTGGTATAGGACACTTAAATTCAGAAGTGTTCAATCTGACAGTATACTCTAACTTTGCCTAAAGAAGACTTCCAGTTAAGTCCAACACACATATATGATTAAAATATCAAGATGACAATGGAGCTTTACAGCTGTTAAATCTGCCAGTAAGGAACAATGCTTCCAGTACATTTGTTAGATTGGACACATTTTCAGAATTACCCCACAAGTCTTTAAGATTTTTTTTTAAGTTAAAAAAGAACTGTGGGAAAGTTCATTTAAAGTCAAATGGAAAGACTTCACCTTGCACTGAAGTTAATGGATTTGGTCTCTAGAACTGTAAATAGTACTTTGTATCTACTGAAGTAAGAAAAAGAATATGGGTTAGTATCAAACAACTCTGGATAAATTGCCTAGCCAGACAGTACTGATGGGAGAAAGCTGGAGTTCAGAAAGATTTTAAGTCAATTTGCAATAATCTAATTAAGAGAATTCTCTCCCATATCTTAAAATACTTTCCAGTTCTGTCTCTTTTACTACGCTTTATTTCTCTATTACATGAAGGTAGAGTATCTTAACATAGAAATAGTCTTGATTTTTTTCTTTTTTCTCTCCTATTTTTTTTTTAAGGAGGGAAGCAAATTCTGTACTAGAGTTCATAGCAACATTTAGTGCAGGTCTTCTTGCTACTACCCCACCCTTTCCAAGAAAATGGCAATGAATGATTAACATTTAGTACCATTTATGTCCACATGGGAGTGCTAAGCACTTGACATAAAAATGTCAGTTTAGAGCAGTTTCAAGTATATGTTAATAATTTCTAGGATTAGAACTAACCATCTGTATCATGACTACATAGCACCACTTTTTTTAAATGCTCAGGTTAACCTTTTAAATCCAGGTTTAAATTTAGGTATAGGCATTTAAGAAAGCTTATTTCATAAATGCAAAGCACACAACAGCATCTAAGCCATAGAGATATGCAAGGTGTACAAGTGTAGTGCCTTTTTTTTTTTTTCTCGGTGTCTGGGCAGTTCGACATGTAAATGCTCTTCACTAGAGAGAAAGAGCATTTTATTTATAGCCACAGTACAGGTGCACCTGTGACATCTGTAAGAAAGATTATTGTAACTCTAGGAAAAAAGAGTTACAGAGACAAACTGAAACACATTGGGCACATACAGCCCAAATAAGCCTACAATCGAGTACATTAAGCAAAGTCTAAGTTCCCCCTGTCCTTTTTACCCACTGCAATCCTTTGTTCTCTTAGGTTGAAACCATGTTTGCAGCTTCATTGTATATAAATATAATGATCTCTAAATTCTTAATCGTTTTTATGTACCAGCTGTAGTTTGTATTGGGTAGATTACTACAGCAGTAAACACTAGCATGTACCATTTTACTTACCTCATTTCCTCACCTTCCATACAGGCCTTGAGAGTCTTCAAACAGATCTATACCATCCAAGTTTGCAAAAGCAATTTAAAGCTATTAAGAAGTAGAAAAGTGGGGTTTTCTGCTAATTAAACACACACCCTTTTGAGGCCTTTGATACAACAAAGAAAATTTAAGCACTTAAGGAGGCCCAAACCAGAACAGAAATCAAGTATTTTGAGCTAGAGGTGCCATTTAAACTTTCCTCTTGTATTACAGTTACAGATTCTCTGAAATTCAGCAGCAGAATGAAAGGTCACACTGCTCGACAGAAGCATAATCTTTTCTTGGTTCTATTTCATCACTTTCATGTTTGTTTTTTTCCTTGCAGAAATAGCAGTAAGTGTAAAAAAACCTAAACACCTCATCCTGCATGAAGAAATTCTAATCTGCAGAAATACTACAGCAATCCCACTGAGACATGGCAGTGGCTATGCAGACAATTATCTATCTATGCTATCAACGTATTTATTATTCAGACATCAGATGAAAACCAACGCTGTTTAAGCTCCTTACTGGAACGATTTTCATCACGTTATTTTGAAGGCACGGTTACCACCAATGAAATTAATTAATGATTTCTAAAAGACAGCATTACTACAAGTGGCTTAACATGACCATATTTAAGATATCACAAAGCTTAGAATTCAGCTTCAAAAAAATACTACACTCTATGAAGGAGTATTAATAGAACAAGTATCTCGGGAGAGTTACAGACTGACATCGAACAGATTCCTTTCTACGACACAGAAAAAGGACTTGCATAAAAATATTTTGAAACTGGCCTTTTAGCTGTTCAAGGTCTGCCAGAAGTAAGCAAATGAAAACATAGTTATGCCCACACACATCCAACTTCCAGGGGCATATTAGAAGAGTCCAAGAAGCGTATTTTAAATAAGAAAGGCAAACATCAGCAGAATTTCTTTCTCAGCTAAGTTTTACCAAGGATGTATTGTAAGGAACATTGTTTATTGTATTACTTTGATAATGCACAAAAGTATTTGAACTGCACATCAATAATATTTTCATGTACAACTCATAGCAATTGATCCCCTTAACTGAAAAAAAAATCATATTTGAATACTCTGTATTGCATTTTATAACTTCAACTGGACTTTTAAAAAACAAATTGTCATTATTTAAATTATATTCACACTTGTCACTCGATTCAAGACATTCTTAAAATAAGCAGCATTTCTTTAATGTTGGCATCACTTCAACATTTAATGCATGGAAACGCTGCACGCATTTTACCTTTGCAATCAGGTTTTACTGAAGATTTGAAAATAAAATTGAGTTAACTGCAGAAATTAATACAGAACATGAACGCATAAACATGGTATGCTAATTTTCTACTTTGCTTTTCCAACAATACAAACCAAGAAAATCCCAACAAGAGCCAGGTTGCTGTTAATTTGTGGTTTTGTTACATGCTTACACCATGGTAATTTTCCCAGATTCTCAGCCAACTTGCTTAAACATTTTAATTGGACTGAAACACTGAGAAAAAAAAGGGATTAGCATGTTTGTTCTACCACACTAGAATATGAAATGTTTCTAGATAATAATTGAAGAAATGCTACTGTTGCAGGTATTAAGTTCACACTTTTTTTTTGAAGTAAGCCACAGAAACATATGCCAATAGGTAAAAAAAAAAAATTCAAGGCAGAACTATGGCTCTCAAGCAAACCTGCTACATAGTTTCAGCAAGAGTAGCTACTAAAATTAAGCTTCTTTTAAATATAGCCCCTTGCTTTGCATTCCTCCAGCAGGTGAGATCTGTAGGACTTTTGCCTGAATTTAGAACTGTATAATCACTCTTTCCAGTAAGCAGTTTTGTTTTAATGTGTTTAACTACACAGTAGTGTGTGCTTTTGTGGGTATATGCACATCCATACACCGATAGGCACTGTACAGTTATAGACTCAAGGCCAAACTGCCATGAAAACTTCAGAGTTTGAAACTGTGTCTTTTTTTAAAAATAAAATTTTAGTCTCCTTGAGCTCTGATGTTAGCAGCTATTTCTAATTTGCAAAGTCATCAGGTAGCACAACAGTTTAAATATAAAACGACTAATAAAAATGTAAAAACTGGGACACGGTGAATATATGGGAGATAATGATGCTAAATAGTATTTTTGGGTCATAAGATAGTCATATGGCCAGGGTGTAAAAAAGTTGAGACTCGCTTCCAGCTGTACCAGTCATGCACAGGCCTTACCTTTCATTAGCAAGAATAATGCAACAAACCACTTCCCACAATTGTGTTGCTTTGGTTGGTTTTTTTTTTATATACCTCAATATGCCGATATTGTGCCTTTACATTTTTAGCATGTTTTTGCCCTTACGCACTCCAGAACTCTGAAGATGAGATTTTTGGGTGCTTCTGTGACGAGTGATAGTTAGTAATGGAAGTGTTAATGTGGTCTTTGGCACCTCTATCTCATTAGTAAAGCAAAAGTCCTGCTCCATTTTTTCTTTAATAAAAAAGTCCCATCGGCGGTGCACTCTGTTAGCACTGAAGAGCAGAATAGGTCTGCACAGCCTGATGACAGGAAAACCTAGGAAATGGCAATACGTGTGTTTACAATTGTCTTTCCAATCAATTGCACAGAAGCTTGGTCCACTTCTTCAGTTACAGCGTAGTCCTCTTAAGAACTTTGGTTACAGCATTAATGTTTTGGTAAAAAAAACCCAAAACAAAACAGAGCAGATGCTTTCCTTTTCTTCAGGTAGATTTTTCATTGTCCTCTCCTGTCTTCTGAACCCGTGAATACTTTTTGCATGAAGATTTGAAGCAGCTGGGAGGCCAAGATATTGGCCAGGAAAAGCTACATGGGACAGAGCCTTGCACGTTCTTCTCAAAGAAATAAAATATTGGATACCACCAGGCTCGAGAGAGGAAATTTGTCTGCGAAGAGACCTTTAAAGTCTGTATTGGCACAAGCAGGTAAAGAGGAAAAGGAAACAATCAGTTTAAAGCATAATTGATTATGTTGAGTCAAGACAATTACAAACAAAGCAATACATTTGCATGCATTTCTGCAAAGACATGGTGCATTTAGCCTAGAAAAAACAAGAGCACTGAGATAGCATATACATCAGAGTCCAAAAGTATACTACGAACTGAGCAGCTTTGACAAAAAGGGATGTTTTGTGGTTGTACAAAATTTACAGAGACAAAGCACTCAAGTCTTTTAGACTCGTCCTTTCAGGCATGTCATGTTTCCAGTTATGCTAATCCTTGAGAACTAGACTAAAAGGGTTTAACATAAGGGCTCCTACTTGAAAGTGTTCTTGAAACTATTGCGATAAATACCTTCTCAACAGTAGACTTTCATACAGAACTGTCACTGGAATTTTAGGATGGTCTAGCTAACTCAGGCTGGTCAGAAATTTTATTACTAAACTGCTGTATATTCATAAGCTTAGGTAAACAAGGGCTATTCTATACATTTACCACAGCACTAAAACCTCAAAGTTCAGAAAAAAGTTTTTAAGCCCAAATATCAGGAATTTTACAAGTAACTTCATAAAAAATAAATTTTGAAATAACTTCATAACAGGTGCAGATTAAAAAACCAAACATCTTAATCCATTAAAGATTTACTTAAACCACAGTAAAGTGAAACCCCTTGCCCAATTTGTTAGAACTTCAATATGGAACTTATATTTTTATTATGAAATTAAGAACTAATTATTACCTTTAAATAGTATTAACAAATGCAGGCTATACATGGATTCTAAACGTAATTGCCTCTCACCTTTTCATTAGCCATTGAGTGGTACCACCAGAAAAGCCTCGTGGTGATATAGTAAGCAACGATGACGTCTACGGTATAGTGTTCATGAGCAACAAGGATACAAATTATGCCAGCAGCACTCATTAGCCAGCAGATTAAGTGATACCACCAGAAATGACGTGGTGAATCTGTGAAATAGAGGTGACGGGGAAAACACACACAAAAAAGCCATATACATCGTTACAACAATCCACAAAGGGAAGGACAAAAGATAAAAATAGAATTTAATTAAGGCTACTACATAACTAATGTATGCTACGCTAGTACATGAACCCTGTTTTGACACAGAAAACAAGATTCAAGAATTGTACATACTTACTGAGGTGTTCGTACTTTGCAAAATGAACCCCAGATGAGCCTGCAGTTAGACAGAGCTGTCACCCATTTTCTCATCACACTAAGTTTTCCAGTTAAAACAGTTCTAGTGTATGGGTTGCAGAGGAAGAGACAGAATTGAAGCAAGACATACATTTTGATTACTTTACTTGAGTGTACTGAACCTCTGCTCTTTTTACAGTCTGTGCTCTTGTAAACTTAAGTAAAACATTTAGAATTGATATAACCTGAGTGGAGATCACAGGCTAAGCAGGAAAACACACTCTTAATTCCCAGATTTTAACTACTTTGTGTGAAACCTCTGTTCTGTGAAAAAGAATACACTGTATGGGGAAGTACAGTACGTGAATTTATACCCTTTCATTAAGGATTAACAAATGTGAGTGAAGCTATTCTTCAAAATGCATTTAAGCCACTTCAGTGGAAAAGTTCCCTCGCGCTTCTTTCCGCATTGAAAAAAGCCCTGGGTGTCACAAAGACCATTCATAACTTGTGACAGGCTAACAGACTTCATTTCATGCGCAGTGGGAGGTTTTGGCACCCCTTGCCTTGCGGGGCAGTGGTCAGCCTTTACTTCCACACAATACCACAGAAAAGTTATGGATCTCAACAAGCCAACCCAGCGGTAGTTTGAGAGGTCTGTGCAAAACAGTTACTGTAGGAGGGCTTAAATTTTGCTGCATGTGTCAAACCAGTAGATTTTATTAACTTTCCCCAAAACACTGCAGACAAAACTGTATCTACTAAATTAAAACAAAATTAAAAAAAAGGATTCAAGTAATCTCAAAAAGTTGAGGAGAACAGCCCCAATCAAGACAGACATACCAAGGCTAAAAATGTAAATAAGTATTCCGTGTAAAAGAGCTGGAGGGAGGGGGAATAAGCGAAGAATCAACAGAAGATGAAAGAAAGAGCAGAGCAAAAAAATCCACTAAGCCAGAAATTATAAAAACCTCAGAACGCATCTTGTACTGAAGACGTGTCATCCAAAGAGCAGAAAAGAATACCATAAGCAGTCTCTAATTCAGAGCAATTACAGGGCTGAAGCTCTTGCTCAGATATCATCTTGCTAATTATATGGGAGGCAGGAAAAGGAAAGCTATGCACTTCTCATTTATAGAGCACAATGCCACTGAAATGCATGCCTAACGATTAGGCAGCAAAGCGCTTATTAGATTCCTCCAGCCCCTTATGATAAAAGTACACAAGTTATACTAGTCCCAAAACCACCTCATTATCTGCATCTTTCCTGATACTAAAGGTATTAAAGAATATGTGATTAGCACTAAGCTGCAATAACATACACAAAACAAGGCAAGCAATACATTTATTATTAGGCTGTTTTCCCAATACCGTTCTGATAATTTTGATGAGTTACACATGCTACTTCCCCAGTGATGTTCACTTTATAAGAAATATGTAGGCCTAAGAATCAGCAGGCTATAACCAGAATCTTAAATCACTGTTTGAAGAAGCATGTCTTACAACCGCAGATTTGAAGTTTGTTGTATTAACCAGGAGTTTTCATATTGTGGTTTTTGTTTAAGACAGAATGTAGCACTGCAGCATTTCCCTGCCTCAACATTTTAATAAAAGGAAGGCATTCCGCTAATGCTGGCTAGTCTTATTTTTGTTTCAGTGAGAATTACACATTCCCATGAGCCAAGCTAGCATTTGTGTAGTTTGGGACACAACAGTAGGAGAGATGATTCAAATTCCAAAAACATGAACTGGAAAGGGAACTCCCCATTACACATTCATGAGCAGCCAAATTCCCAGGGTAGAAGCATTGTTTACCATATATCAGATTTAGAAGGTGGTGCTCAATTCTCCAAAACTTCAATTGATGCTGTGCGTGTAGCATGGATAGAATTTTTTTCCCCCCATGCCCCATAGCAATGTAAAGCAAAGAGGGGAAACCATAACCCCAACTATATCTTCTGTTTGCTTGCCGAATTCTTATCAACACCAAGAGGCATAAGTAGGAGACTCTAGCAGAAGACATCCAAGGAGCATGAATCAACTTTTCACTGTTTGCAGTAATTAATGTACAGCATGCTTTAAAAAACTTTGCTTCTGGATGTCATGTAAGCATGCAATGGCACTGTGCTCAACCCACAAAAAATCCTTAAAAATCTAAGGTATACCAGCCAACCTGCACAGAGTTAATCTGAACGTTTTACCCAAGATTTGAAGAGCCTGCCAATGAATAATGAAAACTAGCTTGCTTCAGTCAACCAGTAAATACTTTTTATAAAGATAGAAGTGATGTGTCTAGTCACGTTAATTCCTTAATTACACTGATATTCCATTTTCACTCAAAGTCAGAATTTTTATTTCAAACCCATACCCATACAGTTGGTGTACAGCTGACTTTTGGAGAACCCTAGTTTTACATGCACTTTTGTCATTTATTTTCCCAGTAAAACTGATTTGAACAAGAGAAGTGCATTGAAATGCCATCACTTACACTCTTTGATGAACAGGTAGATCAGCGTTAATACCACAGTGTGACCACTAAACAGAAAGTCTCCGCACAGGATGTGTGATCCAGTTATAGAGAGACCACCACCAGAAATCAGTCGCAGGATCCTCTGAACCTTTGCCTGAGAATCTCCATTCAACTAGAACATCAAACAAAAAGGTACAAAACAAAGTTTAAGACACACCATAAGTGACTTGTGTAGTAAACTTCTTGCCCAGAGCTAAGCAGACTCAGGGAGACAAGGAAAAAAGGGCACAAGTTATCTTAATTTTCTTTTGCTTTCTTTCACATATTCTTAAACAAATAAGCACACCTATCAAACTTGACAGGTGCTAAAGATCAGCTTGATAACACAAACATTCTGTCTATGCTTTCCCAGGCTGTTTTAAAATATTCATTGTATGAGAGTGAGATGCAGAATATACTGGAAAGGTAAACATCAAGACTTGGTAAGGTCTGGTATCTCATAACAGCCACTGACAGAATGAATAAAATCTATTCAGAACTGGTGGCAGTAAGGTACAACCTTGCACACTGCCGCTGTCATTCTGTTGAGAGATGAGCAATGTTTTGACAGCACAAAACCCTCAGATCTGCTTAATTTTACATTTGGTTACGAACTCACCAGTCAGGGCTTACTCAGATTTAGAGGATTTCTTTTTTAAGAAAACGTGCATTAGGATCTACTTTTGATTTCTCATAGATACTAGGCAAACAGTTTCACCTAGCTGTTTAAAGAGTAACTCTGGGAAAAAAGCCCAACAAACAAGAAGAAGGGATAACTGAGTTTTCCATAATCAGAAAAATATTTTAATGGGAAAAAAAGGAAATCCGGAAGAGTTATCACTTTTTTTTTTTTAGAGTTCAAAGAATTCATCCTGTTTTAATATAAGCAAAATGCATTTTCAGCAGACATGTAAGTTCTCCTTTGCTTACCTCTTCCCACTCTCCAATATACAATCTAGTACAGAAAGTCATTCCCCAAGCTAGTAGAACAAAACAGTCAAGTCTTCACAATAGCGGTGTCTAAATAAAGCTTTTTCAGATACTGATTCATAAGAAGAGTAGCTCATCCATTATATTTCTAAATTGTCCCAACATGAAAGAATAAGACTGAGTAGACATGATGCTGTACCTCAAGGCTGATGAGAGTCTACCCAAGAAATAACAAATTTATCCTCCGAGAAAGTATTCTTCAGTTTCAGAATGCTTATCTTCTCAGTGCACAACCAAACTGTTTCTTACTCTCTCAAGTGCACAGCTCTTTCAGTGCAGCCCACACAATTTGTTTGAAGACAATTGTACGTCTACAACTTTATTAGTAACATAAAACAGCAGCAACAGAATTTCTTTGTCTCTACTTAACTACGCTGATGATTTTTTAAAAATATTATTGTAGGAATATTAGCATTTACATGTTTCTGTATGTATCGGCTCATTTAAATAGCTGAACTCTCTTTAGTCACGTTTATATACATTTTGCAGGTTGGAAGCAGAAATAGGCAGCTGACTTCAGGTATCGCAATAGCTCTTGACAAAACAACTTGAGAAACAAGACAAAGCTTATGATAGTGGTGGTTTTTAAAAGGACACTGCAACATAAGCTTGTGTATCAGTCTGAATTACAACACTGCCCTTAGGTATCCCACCATGCAAAAAATAAAAATGCTGCAGTATTCAAGTGATTAGCTTGAGCCTCAAACAAGCTTACTAATTTGGTAGCAGCTCCAGTTCAAGACAGGTACTTTCCTTCAAAACATCTTAATGCGGCAACAGCTCAAGGAACTTTCTGTATTACACGACTTCTGGTTTATCACTATTTATGTTCCTGAAGGCATGAAGTAATTTGTATCACACTTGGAATATTATCTTTTATTTCCTCTAATGAGCCATAAGGACTCCAACAGAGACTAAAGCAAAAGTTAAGGAGCAAAGGCTCTTACCTTTGGCGCACACTGAAAATGCATTCCAGGCACAGGTAAGGTGGTAACATACATAGTAATACAGCGGTACAGATACAAAGTTCCTATTATAAAAAAGAACCTGCGTCCCACTATTGATCTGAAAGGAAAGGAAGAGGGAGAAAAAAGACTGAGTACAAAGTTCACATGCAGAACATCCATATAAGAGTTACAGAGCTCAAACTATTAGAGAAATCCCCGGAATTAAAGAGCAGCTTCACCTACTGCTCTTCACCACGCACTTCTCTAAATCGAATACTAAAAAGTCTTTCTTCAGATTTTAGTCTCACTAGCTCACGATAGTACATAACTACCACAAAGTTCCCAAATTTATCTAACCAATTTAACGTAGCCTCAGTCTGACCTAGATGTGCTGTCAGGCATAACTTGCCTTGACTCAGTGACCTTCTCTTTTTAGTCCAATATTATAACCACCTACTTAGATAAATCTAGTTTAAGCAAATTAAGGCAAATGAAAGAGCTTCTAGACTAGCTGTAAAAGACAATGGGTTCCACCTCAGATTTGGATGAGATTTTTTACATCATTATGATTCCTCCTGTTTAAACATTGTCACATCAGTGAACACATTTTGCAAAGCCCAACCCCAGAATGCACTTGACTAGTACATCATAGGTGTCAGAAATTCAGATTTAGAAAACATTATTCAATCAGGAGAAACACGGGTTTCCATACCCAACACGAATACTGAAATAGTTTCTAAACGCTCATCCCTTTGCCATTTCCCTGCCAGCCCTATTCTACGATATCACTACAGATCCTACCATAAGATCTCTTCTATTCAAAGTGAATGAGGGAAACTAACATACTGAAAACATACAGCAGAGAAAAAAAATTTAAAAATAAAATCCAGCTGCTTACTTGTATCTAAGAAACAACCACTGGAATATCCATAACCCAACCAGTATCATTCCATTTATTTCTGATACAGAAAAAGCCCATTTCACACGATCAATGTAATCGAAAAATTTGTCAGGCAAGGGAGGGCTTAGTTCCTTTGGAGGTACTCTCTCATGGACCACAGTGATCATGACAGTTGTTAGAATCAAGTTGAAGAGAGCATAAACAAAGGCAATGCCTGTTTTCCACCATTCCAGAGGAAATTTGTTCCTAGACTCTGCAGGCATAGCAATCTGGATGTAATCGGGGTATTTCTTTGTTGTTTTTCGCAAGCCATTAGACAAGCCCTTTGGTTTGCTAGTGACATTTTTGTTCTCCTCAGTGACTGAGAGAGCGGGTCGGGAGTAGCCATTAGCAGTGTCATTGGTTTGACCCTCCATATGCTCTTCAAGCTTTGCTGTCTCAATGGTATTCATTCCCAAGCTGCACGGCCAAATCAGGTTTATCAGTGACCAGTTTCTGGGCTCTCTAAAAGTCTGTTATTCCTTGAAGTCCAACGCTCTTGTTCTTAGATGACTTTTGACTTCTGTAAAACTCTAAAAAGTGTCCATTGTGCTTTCACTACTCAGACACTGTAAAGCAAGTTGTGAAGACAAATCTTTATTTCCTCTAGAGCTGCATCATCTGCAAAAAAAATAAAACAGATACTGAGGACATTCAGAATTTGTAATGTGACATTGAACAAATATCTTAAAAATGCTTATTTTAAGGCCCATCCAAGTCTACTTACACATATAGTCAACAAATGGTTATTGTGAACTAATTCAAGTCAGTTTCTACTGAGTAACTTGATAAATCTGTGATCAGTTTAGGACTAGTACTAATTTAGGCTTTTTATTTTTTTAGGAAAAGATCCACAGATTTAATGATCATAACAGCACGGTTGTCCAAAGACTAAGATGAATCCATGTTTGCACCAATATTAAATTCTATTGCTTAGGGTCATTTCATACAAAATATCTACTTTTTGACACTAGGGTTGCTACAGACATTAACATGGTTTATTCATACTGATCAGGCAATCTTCTTAGTTGAGATGACAAGACAGAAAACAGAAGGGCAATACAGGACTTGATTTTATAAGGCATAAAGTAATTTAGATTCATCTAGAAAATCGATTCCATTAAATTTTATTGCATCTAAATGAGTATTTCAACCAAAAAAAGTACAAAACGTGTCTACATAGTTACTGTAGTACCCACTAAATAATGTCTAAAACTTCAGAGAAATGAGAAATATACATGTGGTAACCTATATGAAGAAAAGACTACAAATGCATCTGTGTTTGTCCTTGAGTTACTCTAAAATATGTCTAGATTTATTTTTTCTTTTAAACAGGAACAAATAGCAAGATTCATTATTACACAAGATTTATTTCATGCTGCATCTGTCAATTCAGTAAAATCTCATCAAATACACAGGTAAGTGTCTAAGTTTTATAACCACTTTTTCTACAAAGAGAAAAGAACGCAGTTCACCTCTGCAGAACGGGCATTGCTCTAGGCAACGCAAAGGCCATTTTCCCCATCTTTAAAGTAGTGTAAACCCACTTACTGTAGTTGTGATCTATCTATTTTTATTATTCTGCTCAGCTCCTCTGGTAAAAGTAGTATGATTATATACAAAGCGTTCAGTATCAACCAGCAAATTACAATTCTCTCTTTTTAATTGTTTCTCTAAGGTAACTTCAACCCTACCACCACCTCCAGTCTCTGTGTGCCAACACAGGCTGCCACGGTTTGCCACGCTGTTTACAATTAAGTCATCGTGATGGAAAGTACAGCTGCCCGTGTCTCTAACTGTACGTCACAGAACCTGGCTTAAGAGAAAACTACCTGGTCAGGAAAAACCTGTCCAATGACTGATCTCTTGATAGCAAGGGCAATCTAAACCCAGAACTGCTTGGAAAGTTGGGTGCCTGGGTTTTGGTCATTCACCCCTCATCCCTCCAAACAGAGAAGGTATTTAACACGGTCAGCATGTAAATCCCACTGATGTTCCTCTTACTGCTGAAAGAGAAAAGAAGTAAAGGTTCAGATCCCTAATATGTGAGATTCATACAAATACTACTGAAACAGTCAAGAAGCATTTGTAAATTAACCTCTCAGAAATCTACTGTCATTGGTTGACCTTTTCCAAATCCTTAATCAAATATATGAAAACTAAACCAACACACACAAACCATCCACACAAATACCCACCCCCCTCAAAAAAAAACAACATCCAAGAAAACAAGCAGTACTTCAGATGCTTTTTCTCCCTCTTACTAATCATACTGTAAACTCTGCTTCCAAAAGAGAAGGGGATGGTTAACCCTGCAGCCAGGCAATGACCTCTGATGTTTCCTCAGATAACAACTACTAGTAACAGAAGTAAAACTAAGATTTTATTTTCAGATATTAAAGGTAGATATTTTAATCAAGGAGCATCTGAACTACTGATGAACAATAACCTAACAACCTAAAAGTAGAGTGGCACTCAGGTTTTTATATTAACTTATTAAGCAAAGCAATTATACGTCTGCTTGCAGGAAAAAGTTGTGTTCCTTCCTTGTACTTTTAAATGGATTCTAAGGCATATTGATCTACCATTTCTGATGGCTCATGGAGATTATTTCAAGCAGAGTGCACACTGTGGTCAAGCCTTTATTTACCTTGATAGTTCAAGGTGCTATGTATCATCTGATCAGTGATCTGTAGGAACAGAAAGGCTTTCCTTTATAGTACCTTTTCAAACCATTTCTCCCATTTTCTAAAAGAAAGCAGAAACTCTACTGATGCAAAAGACAAACAAACTCTGCTTGAACCTTTCAGTCCCTTGCTGTCAATCTGACTGGCACTGACAGGTACAGAGCACCAACAGTCTGATCATCCTCTGCTATTGCCTAGCAGTAGCCCTTTGACTTCTTCATTCATCAGGCAGCAATGCTCAGACCTGGCCATCCAGCCAGCACCTAGGATCTGAGAATCAAACCAAATTGCTCTAAGCTACAGAACATTCACTGAGGGGAGTCTCAACGACTCACAAAATTGGCCGAGTAACCCAAGAGAATAAAGAAAATTCCTCTAAGGGACACACATAGACTTGAAGAACAAGTTTTCTTTCTCTAACCCCTTCAATACCTTTTTAAAATAGACATGTATCATCAGAGCTTATTAACCAGCAGTACTTCAGCAGAAGTCGTAAATGCCACAAAGATCAACATATTCCAAGGAAAATCTTTAAAGTGAAAGAGATGCAAAAACAGCAGGGGTCCTCACTGTTTACCCTGAGCTGCTACCTGCTCCCGTGCAAGTAGCTCCTTTAGCTTTCCGCATCCCCATTTGGCTGCCATTTAAAAGAAAATAGTTGACTGGGGGTACAGCATTGAGATGTGTAAGAAAGCACATCTACATTTGGTTTTTCATGCCAGAACTTAAGAATAACAAGCAGTTTTATTTAGCTTGTTAGTCATCAGATCTTCACATAAAGGTCATTTTCACATAAAGTTAGCTCACAATTGGTGCTTCTCATCCACTGTTTGGAACTTCTGAAATATTTCTCAAAATATTTTAACTTGTATAATTTATCAAGGCTTTCCAAATAAGTAGGTCTTAACCTGCTCTTCCAAATATGAACAGTACTATTAGAACAAGAGCATCCAAACCAGTAAGATTGATCTACTCTGACATTAAGGAAAGCTACATACCCATATACAAGATGGAAAAAGTTTCTATGTAGTATTTTTAAACCTCATTTGCTTTTGTTAAGTTTGGGTCAAATATCTGATACAGCTTAATATATTCTTGAATTTCGCAATTATGAGAAGTCTGTAAACTAAATACTGCAGAAAATAAACGACACAACTGGAGAGAACATGACAGTTGTATACCATATTGTTATCTATATCATATCATTATCTATATATAAAACACAAAAAACCCACAACCAAACAAAACAAAAAAACCCCACAACTGCTAAACCAAACCTGAGCAAAATACATTCAGGTATGCAGAAACACGATTCAGTTTAATAGCTTTGCTTATCAGTTCTATTTCCTTACAGTAAAAATATTTTCAGAGCTCTGCTCATCTTCCAGCTGTAAAATGTTTATGCTTACAATACATAAATGCATGCAAAAAGTGAGCTGCAGTTTATCTAAAAGTTACAAGTTTATCTACATTCTCTAATAGGCTGCCAACACATTTCTTGCTCACATGATGCTAAAAAAGTACAAGTAAGATAAAGCTGTATTACAGTAGTACTGTTCATTCAAATGCTCTCAGAACTGAGATTATGGTCACTGTCACTTGCAACACATTTCAACTTTTATAAAAAGCATTAACTACTTACCCTGTATAAAACTATCTTCAGGACTAGAAATAGAGTAGATATTCCCCCTACCTCTTGAGATACAGATTTTGAAATTCTCTTATTTAGGATTACAATATACCATCAGAAGCTGTCTTTTAAGAACTAAATCCCTACACTTACCCAGGTAGGTGGGAAAGCTTCAAGGTTACTGATTATCAATTTGTACAAACCAAGTTTTCCTTGTTCTGTGGAATTCTGTTTCTTCACACCTCTAATAGTAAGAAGCATATTAGTTTCCACTTTCCTGGCATTTAGTATTCAGTGTGTTCCACAGCAGTGCCAGGTATCTGAAAAAGTATGCCCCAAAAAGCACAAAAAAAAAATATTCATACCCACATATCATAGTTGGTAAATGAGAATTTGATGCCCTTTAAAGGTACTTTGTATCTTGGCACCATGACAGGCTAAGAGTACATAACTGGGAAGAAAATCTAACCTTTTAAGAACGAAGGTCACGACATGTGTTAAATAACAATTATTTGTTATCTTTGAGTGCTAGCATAATTCATTCTCGCAATAATCCTTCTGTGTATGGCATAAACAAAGGAGTTTTATTTACAGGTTAAGAGTCTTTCCTATAACAAAGGTTTTGAGAATGTTCTGTCATACTTGTAGCATCAGAAATGCTAACAAAATAGTTTAGTTTAGAAGAAACTTCAGGAGGTCTCTAGGCCTCCGGGGCCAGGATCAGCTATGACACAAGATCAGGTTGCTTAGTGCTTCTCCCAGCTGTGCCTTCAACATCTCCAAAGATGCACAACCTCTCCAGCGAGCCCGTTCCTCTGCAGGGTTGATCTTGCAGCAAAAAGCTTTTTATTTTTTTTTTTGTTTTGAATCTACTTTTTTCTTTTGTATCTACTACTTTTAACAAATTATGCACCTTGTGTCTCATCCTCCCACCACGGTGAAGAGCCTGGCCCCGATGTTCCTGGTGACCTCCTTGCAGGCATGAAGGGGCTGCTGTCGGGTACCCCTGAGCCTTCTTCAAGCTGAAGCAACCCAGCCTCCTGACCACCCTGACCGTGCCTCCACTGGGTTTGCTTCCAGTTAATGTTTTTCCTTGATCAAGGACCTAAAACCAGACACAGTATTCTAGACACAGCTAAGAAGCACTGAGCAGAGAGGAATAATCACTTTCCTATAAATACTAGCTATGCTCTTATTAAGTACAGTTTGGGATACTGTTGGCTGCCTTCTCTGCCAACGTATATCACTAAATCCCTTTTCAAAGCCAAAAGAAATATTGACCTTTTTCCAACAGA